CCGAATGGTCGGGCCCGCATTGTGCGTCGGGTCGTACGCCGCACGCGAGGGGCTAACGGGCCGAAATACATCAGCCCTTCCCCCCCTCGCGTACTCCCTAGATAGAGAAGGCAACTCTATCTCTCTGAGTGTAGAGGCTTCTCCAGCGTAGAAACTTCCGGGAACGCCCCGACAACGGTTTCGGATTATAGTGGGATTGCTACCCACCCCCTAGATGAGCACTGTCTACGGTAAAAGGTCTCTTATCGAGCTCAGCCTACACCTGCTGCACGTAATCGAGGGACGCCATAGGTCTAGCCTAGGTGGTCCGATCCTTCGCTTCTCTGAGGGTACCACGCCGGTCATACGCACAACAATGCAAAGCATACTCGAGTCAAAGACCGCCGATACACTACCCTTTTTACATTGTGCCAATATTTCTATCTTTTTTTTTACTTTTAACTTCATAGAACTTCCTTTATTTTCCTTTCCTTTATTTCATGTAAATTATTCTTAGGGGACAGCAGTCCCAGAATAAAGTTATTTTTCTTCTTCTTCTTAAACAGTTAAAACATATTTTGCGAATTTAGCACATATACAACAATAGGGTTATCGTCAATAAAGAAAAGATCTTTATATACAGAATTACGCAAGTTTCCTCGAGAAATTGGAATAAACCCAAAGTTTCACTGCCACTCTCGCGCACATTTGTTATAACTAGCGGCACTCATTCGGCATTCTTACATTCTCCTTATATGGTGCCAAGGAATGACACCGTTTCATTATGTGGGATACAATGAGCAATCTTTCTCTGCATGCCGGGCACATATCGCCTTAGATTTTGGTCCAAAAGTAACTGTCAACCGCGTATGGCCAATTCTAAGCCTGGTTGGGATGATCGTTCTTCAACGGTTAACTTCTCCGAGGGGACCAATCTTGACGCTCTAATCCTTCTCGGACGGCCCAGTCGACGTTGCCACCATATCTTTACCACATTGCTATATTATTTGTGTGTTATTACGTTTTTGTGAAACAGGGTGATGATTAACGCAAAATTCTATAGTAAATAATAAAAAAGTATTACTATATGTATATTTTCAATATGTATGATAGTCGTGAGATGTTTTATGGCCCACTCTTTTTGAAGCGATCGTTAGGGTATTACAACTCCAATTAGAAAGAAAGTGTTTTGGTTTCCAACATATAAAATTGGGTTTTACGAGTTACACAGGGGGAGTGTAAAGTCTTCAGTTGAGTTGTAAACATGTAATTTCGACTTTTAAGAGGTATCGTCCTTCTATTGTATTATGCCGTGCCAGATTGATTACCAGGGGCGATTTTATGTCTTCGCCCTTTTCGGAATGAACGCTTTAACAGAGGGCGATGTTAAACTCGTCTGTAAAAGTTTTTCGCATTGAATTTTCCCGTTTTTATTTTCGTAAAAGAAAAGCATTAAATTTATTGAGATTCTGTGGAACCCGTAGGATCCAACCTATTATTTGTTAGTGTTATTTGAAGATATATGTTGGATTCGATAGATGGAATGCAGGTAAGAGAAGTGAAAATGTAGTATGGAGTATATACCGGGAAGAGGTTTGTTTGTACGACGGGAGATGTTTGTTGAAGGATATTTGAACAGAGGGATAGAGTTCATGTCTATGCAGCAGGATGGGCCGGGGTCAAGCCTCAAGTCCGTCTCATTTGCCTCTCGGAGACATGTACTAATGCCGTTTCCGAGGAGAAGATGGGCCCTGTTCTATTGACACGGACCCTCAACCGCAAACATCACCGTTAATTAAAACAGATCGCTCTCTCGCCCAGGCGTGCACACGTGTGCTATCAATCGATACTTGACTTAAGGCCGAACTTGCCGTCGTCTACATTTCACTAATATGCCCCGAGGGGGATGAGGCTTGGCTCAGCTTTACGTAGAGTTTACATTACAAACGGAATCCTTCAATCGTGAAATGCGTTCAAATAGTCAGGATTTTACATATTAGAAGCAAACAAAGGGGTTGAAATAGCTTGAAAACTTGTGGAAAAACAATTCATCTTCGCTTTGCGCAAGATATTATGGAAGTAATAATTCTTCATGCAATAAATATCATTACGTTTATTTTTTGGTGTAATAATAATGAAATACAATATGCAGTTTCACTTACCTCACAAATATCAAAATTTCATCCCAGTAAAGAGTTTGAAAAGTTTATTATTTAATCTTAAAATTTTGATTTATTATTTAATATTGTGATTGAAGAAAATTGAATAAGTAAGCAAAAGCACTTACTGTTAGTTTGTTTGCCTCGTTACGGAAAATTCAGGCGCTTGGTTGGAGATCAGATAGGTTTTTGTGCCTCAACGACTCCAGATACTTTATGTTAGATGACACACAATGGCGAAAATAATATACCGAAGGATAGGAAGACTAAAGCGGGGAACACACTTGCCCGATGCAACGCTATGCGACGCCACCCGATGCTACCCGACGCCTTGTCACGTTTTGGTAGGGTGTGCACATCTATGCTACGTCAAGCGAACGCCACGTACAGTCACACAGCGTGTATCACAAATCAGTGTCACAATCGCAACACCTCTTTTGTTCTTAAGAGTTCTTGTTGTTGCTTTATTTTGAGCAAAATCATGTAATAAATTGTTAGTTAAATTTTATGAGCACAACCATGTTATAAATTGTTAGTTAAATTTAATTGTCTTAATTAAAGTTATTCCGGTCTTTCGATAAATTTTCTTCCTAATTATTGAGAAATCGTGAGATGCGGTCTGTTGTGACGTAGGTTTCAGAAAAATATTTTATTCATCGTGCCAACGTTTCTATCTTTATTGAGATCATCTTCAGGGCCGGGGATTTCCAAACATTGTTTACATTTAACAAATACATGTAGGATGTGGAAAAAAAGTGAATTTATACAATGCAAAATATATTTTTTTATATTCAATCAAAGTATTTCTACTCACTCTTCCTAATCATTAAAATTAAATAATTTTTAAAAACTTATGAAATTTTGATTTCGTTTAATTTGGTTAATTAAATTGAAATGTTGTAATTTATATAACGACAAAATTACATATACTTAGTTTGAAATAAACTACAAAAAATATGAGTGACCAGTGAGAAAATGTGACTGACGCTACTCGACGAAAATGGTGTAATTTTATGATCAAAACCATGAAATAAATTGTCAGTTAAATTTTATGAGCAAACCCGTCTAATAAATTGTAAGTTAAATTCATTATATCAAAAATTGGTATTCCGGTGTTTTGAACAATTTTTTTACCAAACCGTTAAAAAAAAATTTTTTAAATAAAAACTAATGAATTTTTGATCTCGGTTAATTTGGTTTATATTAAAATAAATATATTGTAATTAATATAACGACAATAATACATGTAGTTTCAATAAAAATACAAGTATCCGGTTCTTTTGTCTTCGACTGTACTCGATGCTACCCGACGACAATGTAGACCGTGGGGATCGCAGAACGTAGAGTAGGGTAGCATTACATATCATCGGGCAGATATGCACGGGGGTAATACAATCTTACGGAAAATTGGACTTCGGGTTTGCGTCGGCAATTCGTACCACTTGGCATGGGGCATGTATAGGGATGATTCAGAACCCCTGGGCTAACGGAGTCTGTGTTTGTATGAATCCCAATTATATAAATTCTAGTATTTCACAGAATGGTCTTCACCCCGACGAACATCGAGTACTCTGGGATGAGAGAGTCTCGTCTGAAGAATGGAACTGACGATTGAGTCTTACTTACCCTAAAGTCCGTTTAATCTGAAAATATTTCGGCCGGCAGAAAGAAATTTGAATATTTTGATTGACTAGTGGCATTCCCCATTCCAAAATGTTCTGTAGATTTTTCGCTGCACTTCCAACCAAAAACTTAAGTCTGCAAGGCGTTTGTATCTGAACTTTTTGGGCTCGCAGGTTAGTTTCGCTCGTTGCCATAATCAGTTCTGGGTATTATTAAAAATGAAGTTGGCGAGAAGCAGAAATCCGTCCGTTAGAACGAAATAGAAAACAAGCAGTTTAATATGAACAGAAGCGCTTCGTTCTCAAATTGAAGTTTTTGGACTAATCCGAATTTTAGCTAATCCGACCGTGCTCTTTCCCAATTCGTTCGATCTAGCGGGATTCTACTGTATTTTTAAGACTGAAAGGGGTTTTAAATCCGCCCCTAGGATTATGGGGTACTTTGGGAGAGCAAATGTGACCATATTTGCTTCGAGTTGGTTGGTGAACAATGTTGTGGTTTTGAACCATGGGAGAAAACGTTGTTTATCTGTTTCTTGTTGTTGTTTCTTCTTGTTCTTTTGTTTGACAACCAGAACAACGCGTGATTAGCTAGTTACAAAAAACAGCAGAATACATTTAAGAGTGTCAGTACGAAAGGCGTGAACGTAAGAAAGAAAAACGTAGAATTTTCGGTTTTATATGTAGGATGGGGATGACATCTCGAAATTTTTCGAGCTATAACTTTTATACATGTACTACAGTGCAAAATGCTGAAAGTTTCTGTCTGGTAAAGACATCGAGGAAAGGCATACCAAAAAGATCGAGAGTGACCAAATAACTTGTTAATCACCCACATACCACATGGAGCAATCTCAAAATTTTATATATATACACACACACACACGATTAATTAAAGTTGTAACAAACACACCTTTAAAGTTAATGTGGTGATTGTTAGTCTGTCAGTTGGTGCACACGTGTTGACTGATAGATACTGGATCATTTCAGAGTGCCTACTATCGACACCTGACAAATATTTATTCGAACATAACAAAACTTTCTAAATAAAAAATGGGGACTGGTAGAAGTATTTTTGTTTTTTTAACGAATACATTTTCTGTGGTAGATCTTATTTTGTGGACGAGTTGGGCATGAATTTATACATAAACCCTTGGCTAATTGAATTCTAACCCTGTTGAACTTCGCATCCTGCTATCTCACTGATAATGGCTTAACGATTTTCCTTTTTTCTTTCCAGCCGTTGATGGAAGATGGTCAGGCTGGTCCGGTTGGTCAGCGTGCGGCCCTGACTGCAAGCAGCACAGAAGACGCTCATGCACTAATCCGTCACCGTCGAATGGAGGGAAATTCTGCTTCGGAAAAGATACCGTCAGCACCAACTGCACTGGAGGACTTTGCGGGCGTAAGGGCATTTTTATTTATATGTTTTATCTGTGATATATTTCCTTTTCCTAAATCTATTCGGCTCTATTCTTTACCAAGCTTGTACTAAAACTCGATTATTCTCTTGAAAAACTGCTTAAACGATCTGTCACATAGATTTCGTAAGATGACTTCTATAGTTTAAAAAAAATTTACCAATACAATCTTTGTGTTAACCATGTTAACTCTGTTAAGTCCAATTAGATCGAGGAAAATGATGACGTAGACTTGTATCAATCGGCTAGTTAACATTGCTCGATCTAACAGACCAAGGCCAATGTTAAATGTTACGTCGAAAATTTAGTCACATTACAATCCGTTAGGGCATAGGTAACCAACATGGCAGCCATGAATTTAAGTTGTTTTTTGTTTACACGTATTTTTATTCTTGAGTACGCATTAAATAAATCATACCAGTATATTTATTTTGTTAATTTCTGACCGGTGCTGTTCCTATAAAAATCAATTGTTTTATATTTTGCAAATTTTATAAACGTATACAATTAGATTTTTAAAAAACTGATTGTAGGTACTGAAACGAATATAATTTTCCCAATGGATAACACTATTGACAACTTTCTGTCTAAACCATCTCAACAAATACACAACCAACTTTGCCATTTATTTTACTCCCGTCAGTGAAAATATGAATATTAACTGTCAAGGTTACATCATTTTTGTTCGTTGTTGTCACAATCTTTGTGTTAACCATGTTAAGTCTGTTAGGTCCTGCTAGATCGAGAAAAATGATGAAGTAGATTGTAAAAATCGGCTGGTTAACATTGCTCGATTTAACGGACCAAGGCCATGTTTGGGGTTAGGTCGAAAATGTAGTCACATTCCTAGCCGTTAGGGCGTAGGTAACTAACATGGCAGCCATGAAATTAACAGCTGTTTTTTATTTACACGTATTTTTCTTATTAAATATATTTCTTTTGTTAATTTCTGACCTGAAATTAACGTTTAACACGCTGAGAAAAGAAGGGGGCGTTCAGGATCGTATTGGACATTTCTCTATTCGAGTTAACATGTTACAACATCGTGAATACTCTTTGTATCTTTTCTTTGCATTGTTTTCTTTGCAATATAAATATAATACTAATAATAATCCTATTTAAAAACCTAATTAATCCTGTTATAAGACTGTCGAGTACTAATATCTTTCTATATTTTTTTGATGGTAATAGATTTCATGAAACTTGTGAATTATATAAAAAGGCCCTTAATAATAATCAAACTATTTTCCCATCAACTCCTGACCTAGAAAAGTAAAAGAATGTCAAACTTATTCACTCAAAGAGGCAACATTGCAGAAATAATTTCCAATATTGTTTTTACCCTTGAAGTGAGAAGTTCTCGCATTATACGATTAGTAGTGCGACCCCCGGAGGTATAAAGCACCCTTCTCTCGCTAAACTGTGCCTGGTCCTGACTTCCATCCGTAATATACCGTTTTTACGTACATTTTATTCCGAGTCCTCAGGGATATCTGCAATAGTCCGAGTGCCATTTGTCAAACGTGGGGGTTAGCGCCGTCCCCTTAAATCAGCCTTCCCCATTGTCCGTGAATTATCCCTTGTCACTACGATTACCATTGCATATCGGTAGCCTTGTTGGTTGATTTATTGCTTTGTGACAATATACTTGTAAACTGTCATTACCTGTCTGGTCACCCTACGGCGAATGGCGATTAATCAAATTTTGTTATGTTCCAGTCATAAAAGAAGACGGGATGGACGGTTCCCATCTCACCGAGGAAGGTAAGAAGATTCAGAAATTATAATCGATTATATCCTATACTATTTCAAAAACGATTCTAATATTATTACACAAAAAAGTAAACTGGAAACAAGGCTCCTTCTATTTTATTGGAACATGAATCTTGCAAACTATTCAAGTTTTAATGATTAGGAAAGCTGTCTTTAATGATTTCCACAAGTGGTGTTTCTCCAAATGTGCAAAAACCCTCCCCCGATCGACAACCCTAAGTTTCAAGCGGGTAACTTTTTAACTCGCATTACCCGCACTAAATCGGCTTTAACTGGAAGGGGGAATATTATTGTAGAATGCAAAATGTTTTAAGTGCACTTTTCTTTATTTTAAAGGAGAACGGCCTGAATAATATATGTTTTATCCGTTTATATTTATGTTTAGAGCTTTTAACCAGTTTGTATTTGGATATTTTTATATAAATATTTTTTATATTTTTCGTAGGTAAAGGTAAGTCTCTCTCCCTCAGACACACATTCTCTCTCTCTCTCTCTCTCTCTCTCTCTCTCTCTCTAAAACAATAAAACCCGAGCCCTCGTAGTTAGCCCTTCTATTTCGTGGTCCGATTGACCAAATAACTTCTTTCAGTTAATTAAACAATTAAAAAGCAAGTGGCACGAGCGGGATTCGAACACACGACCTACCGCTACTTACGGCGCTGCTCTACCAATTGAGCTATCGTGACGTCGATCCACTCGGACAACTTCCAAATCTCAACCTACCTTTCGAATTTAAGAAGAACGAATTTTGGGTTAGGTTAAATTCCAAACAATGGGAATTGAACGAGAATGATTTGTTGATTTTTGAGCATGAAAGTCTTAATTTATAATAAACATTTAAGAGTTCTTATTTGCTGGCTGATTTTAAGTAAGGTAGAATTATTAATCCATTCCTGCTTTGAATAGCAAATGTATAGAAATAATAAATGGTGGAGTGAGTGTCTTTTTAAAAGATAGAAGTTTCTGAACTTTCCGAGCTCTTTCAAAACTAAGTGTAGCATTCAGTTCATTCATTGTGCTTTCAACGTCGCTCAAGGAGTAAATTCTGTAAACCATTTATTTATTTAATTATTATTAAAAATTAGTGGATAAACTTGCTAAATCGATTTGTACAAAATAAAGAACTCATAAGGTCTCCCAAAATGAGAGTTGAAAATATTCAGCAATATTATCCAGGGATGATATTTGTAGTTATATTGAGATGCGGTCGATTGTTTGGAATTGTGTAGAACGAGGGCAAACAACAAAAAACCTTTGATGTACCGAACGAACGATCGTGACTAAAAATGTCCACACCGGGCGAGCCTAGCATTCGCGAATATCTTAAATAAACAGTTTTAACACAATAACAAAACATTACTAAAAGCAGCATTACTCAAAAACGAGGGAACATTCGAAAGCTGAGGTTGAGATGGAAAGTTAGTGTCCGAATGGATCGAGGTCGCCATAGCTCAAGTGGTAGAGTATCGGCGTATCTAGCCGAAGGTCGTGGACTCGAATCCCGCTCGTTACACTGACTTTTTTTATTAAAGACTTAAAAAACCTTAATTAATTAAAAGATTAATTGGTCAAGTGGACCACGAAAACTAGTGAATTACTAAAAGCGTTTGATATTGATTCCCATAGAACTCATAAAAACGCAAGCTTAAGGTTTACTTGGATGCTTGAAATGGCTCGAAAGATACATAAGCCGCGTTCTCAAGTTTGACTTTTTGTTGTCCAAAAGCGGGTAAAATCTGTTTTTGTTAACGGGGTGAACAAAAAGTGATAAACAATTATTGGCTAATTGAAACATGACGTCCAAAGTGGCTGTACGCAAATTTGTAACAGTTGTTTCAGTTAAAAAACTAAAAAGTGATATGAACAATTTTATAAAATTGAGGAAAAATCGTTAAAATGTTTGATTTCGGTAAAGCAGTGGATTTTAAGTAGAAATCTGTTGAGATTATAACTAGTTTCATGAGTTATTGTTGATCTGTTTTAACTAGATTAAAGTGAAGACTTGAAGGTAGAATATTAACAATAGCGGTATTCACGATCTTTGTGGTAACCCTGTTAACTCCGTTAGGTGCTGTTAGATCGACAAAAATGATGACGTAGACTTGTTAGAATCGGCTGGTTAACATTGCTCGATCTAACAGACCATGGTCAATGTTAGAGGTTAGGTCGATAATATAGCCACTTTGCTATCCGTTAGGGATTAGGTAACCAGCATGGCAGCCATGAATTTAACAGCTGTTTCTTGTTTACACGTAGTTTTATTCTCAAATACGGATTTAAGTGCATTAAAGCTTCTATAGCTTTAGTTTTGGTTCTACCAATCGCCACGCGCAGCATTGCAGAAACCTTAACGTTTAACATGATAAGAAAAGAAGGGGGCATTCACGGTCTTACTGGACATTTCTGTATTGGAGTTAAAATCTACAGGTGTGCAGTATTTCAAGCTCTGTCGATTCATGGAAAGAATAATGTGATGATAGGTATTATGAATATCGCCAAACCAGTAGCCTTGTACCGATGTAAAGCAAAACAATACAATAATAGCCCGTACCACTTTAGTAAGTCCTTGTATATGGACTCCATGTATCACAATAGTCTTAAAACCACACGTAGAATGTGAAAAAAAAGTATTAATACAATGTTGGAAATGTTAGACACAATCAAAGTATTTGTACTCACTCAAAGTGTTTGTTTCCTTTTTAGATGTGTCATTATTCACCCCTTCATAATACACCTAATAAACATAAAACATCATCTCACTAGCACTCTCAACACGACACACTATAATGACACATCTATACAGAAAACAAATACTTTGATTGTGTCTAAAATTCCTACCATCATCTAAATTCATTTTTTCACATCCTACATGTATTTGTATAATTTAAACAATGTTTTTAAATCCTAGGCCCTGAATATGATCTCAATAAAGATCGAAACGTTGGCATGGTAAAGAAAATGTTTTTCTAAAACCTACGACTCACCAAACCGCATCTCAAGACCTTCAGGTAATCATTAACTAACGGTCACCAAACTCCACACATGAGAGATAGATAGATAGATAGAGAGAGGATAGATAGATAGATAGATAGATAGATAGATAGAGAGAGAGAGAGAGAGAGAGAGAGAGAGTGAGAGAGAGAGAGAGAGAGAGAGAGAGAGAGAGAGAGAGAGAGAGAGAGAGAGAGAGAATTTGAAGAGGAGAGAGGAAAAACGAAAGAATATATTATAAATTGTTTTAAAGCTATGTTGATTATTCTTCCAAGATGATTTTTAAACGGTTTGTAGAAATCTGATGGTGCAGGGTGCCAATGATTATTATCCCGTGCTAGGATTAGGATTAAATCAATAATAACAAACCAATAATCAATAGATTTTCTCCGGACCGGTTTCGACTAATCTATAGTCATCTTCGGGTAAATTTTCTAATTTAATTTAAAAAAATTCAATTACAATAAATTAATTCAACAAAATAATTTTACAAGCCAATTAGTGTCGAATTAAAGCCACTTTAAACCAAGTGATACCAGGTTTTAATTCATGAGTAATGGACTTGTAAAATTATTTTTTTGAATTAATGTATTGTAACTGTGATTATTGAAGGACTTTTGTGAGTGTGCTAAAAACCGTTTGGTTTATTTTTTCATCTAGGTCGTGAAGTTTTTAACGAATTGTGATTAACTTAATTGTAAACAAAACCTACTAAATACTTTTATTTATGAAATATAATTTGTATAGCTTTCGGCTACAATTTCAGTGGCTACAAAGAGAAATAAATTTACGAGCTATTAACATTTTCCATCGGGAGACTCTGCTTGCCTCCTTGAAAAACAAATGGCTCTTGCGGTCGTGGGGGATTGGAACAAAGGACAAATCGTGAAGTGGCATTCAAAACCGTGCGGGCATAAATTTAATTAAGGCTTCACCCTTTATACATCCGAAGGTGTGTGAAAAGGATCCAAGGTGTAAACATTACACGGATCTATTTCAAGTCGTCCTGGAGAAAGACAATTGTTTCACGGGAGGCGGCACGGCAGAAACACAAAGCTGGGTAATCTCCAGCTATTCCCATATCAAATTACTGGAACCTCAGTTCGTCGGCGGGCGGCATTGTTCACCGTCCCATGGGAGGACTGTTTCCCAGTTAGTCATTGTTTAGGAGGCTGTTCCTCCTCCTCCAATACATCAAGAGACTCCTCTTCTTCCTTTGTTCCTCCGTACAACTCGGAAACTATCTTCTGAAACTATTTTCCCAATCCTCGCCACCCTCTAAATTCCCGGGAAATTCCAAGGGAGCAAATTGGGTTAGCGCAGCAGGAATATATTTCATTAGGTTATAATTACACACATCCTTTCCGTCATCCTAACAATCTTTCCTTGTAAACTGCTTGAAAGTTAATGAAAAAAGTATTTTCACCGTAAACCGACCGTTATTCCATAATTATTCTGAAATCTTGAGATGCAGTCTGGTGTGATGTAGGGTTCAGAAAAATATTTTCTTTATCGTGCCAAAGTTTCGATCTTTATTGAGATCATATTCAGGGCCTGGGATTTACAAACATTATTTTAATTTAACAAATACATGTGGGATATGGAAAAAAGTGAATTTATACAATGCAAAAAAATATATTTTTTATATTCAATCAAAGTGTTTCTACTCACTCAAAGTGTTTGTTTTCTGCGTGCGTAAGTGTGCCATTCTTGCGTGTTGTGTTGAGAGTGCCAGTTTATAAACATAAAACAGCAATATCTCACTGGCACTCTCAACACGACACACAAGACTAGCACACTTACGCAGAAAACAAACACTTTAAGTGAGTAGAACACTTTGATTGAATATAAAAAATATATCTTTTTGCATTGTACAAATTCACTTTTTTCCACATCCTACATGTATTTCTGAAATTTAAACAATGTTTGTAATTCCCAGGCCCTGAAGATGATCTCAATAAAGATCGAAACGTTGGCACGATAACGCAAATATTTTTCTG